CAATGTTGTAGGGTATGGTCGCCACATGACTATGGTCTTCCAACCTCCATCATCTGACTAAGATCTTCTAACCTCCTTTGTTTGATTATGATCATTCTACCACTATTACCAAAATACAATCCTTCAATCACTTTCATCCAACTATGGTCCTCATACATTTATTCCTTTGATTGGATTCGCTTGTCTACAATGATGTCTACTAATATCATGACATAACATCACTAACAATGCCAACACAGATCATCACTTATAAAATTGTTGTACATCAATGACATCAACTTTAACTCCTGACACTAGCATCAAGATTTACATTGAACTGCTTCGTCTCTCATCTCCTATTCTCAAAAGAGTACGAACTAACAAACAATCTATTAAAGACCGCTCTTATGACAACATACTATTCCAACTTAATTCAACTAAGTAATATATTCTATGCATTGTATGCTTACTTTCTCTAGGTAAAATACATCATTTGTAACTGATGACAAATACCAGTTGAATCATTTTAATTGGAGTATTGAACCATACTCCATTGTTTCCCCTTTTTCAAAATTTTCAAATCAAATGTCTGGTGTCTTATCCAACTCTTCACACTTTTCTCTTATTTATGAGCTTATTAGATTTTCGTATAATATCAATATGTTAAATTTTATATCTCTCTACTGATGCAAATGTTATGGGACACAACAAAAGCAATTAATCATGCTCTAATTTTTGTTCAAATTTCAAACTCATACTTTAAGATTCAAACTAGTTAGCTTTTATTTTAGTTATAATTTAATAAATTATGAGGTACTTGTCACTTGTAGTAACTCTTTAAATACTTTTTTTCTTGTGTCGCTTAAATAATTAATTTTCTTAATAGATCAATGGCAATTGATATAATTTTGAAATCAAATTCTCGACTTTTTTTTACTTTTATAATGCAGATGATCTTAGGTTTCGTTTAAGATAGTTTTGACATTTTTTAAAGTATTTTTTTAGTATAAAAATATTTTGATAAAAAACTTTATAAGAAAATAATAAAAAAATCATCACAAACTAAGCCTTAATTGCTTGGTGTAGATTTTAGATTTTCAATTAACAAACTTTAACCGTCAGAAAACATAGTGGAAATATAGTAGGCCCGAGCAAATTATACATAAACTATATAGAATATAGTGGACATAGATTATTCTTTACTTGTCAATATTAGCTCCAATTTTACGAGTTTTGGGCCCTCTGACCTGCTCAAAGTTTTGCTTGAAGCTTTCGTACACCTCAATATAGTATTGGGCTGGGCTCTTAAAAATAATGCCTGAGAAGAATATTAAGCTTACACGTGGTGCCTCAAATACGAGAGAAGCTGAGTAACTAATCCCTCGGCGGACCTAACGGCAACCAACCCCACAGGTGCCGGGTCACGCACTTATTTTCGCCCCACTTAGCTAGGGAAAAATACCGCATGAGAGATGAATTGAAGGTTGGAGGTTTCCAACCACGCTCACCCATCAACCCAACTAAGCCCGGCGGGGTTCCAAAAAAGGTCTCATTGTTTAACTATGCTACATATGACTTTTCTTGTTTCAATCATGATTCATACATATGTGAAATAATAAGGGCTTATGATGATGAAGAATTGGTTTCTATTCACTACAACACTATAGTGATGATGGCTCCAGCTTTGCCACCTTAAATGACATTTCTCGCTGTATGTCTCATTTTACTATTAATCTTTGGGTTATTTTTGTGCCTCATTATCTTGTATTCGCTTTCATAGAATTTTTTGTCTATTTTTTTTTCCCATTGTAAGCTCTTTGTGATCATATATTGTATCTTCTGTGCAATATTTTGACCAATTAATAAGTGTTGGGCATGGTCCTCAAATTCCAAAAAAAATATGAGTCTCGATGCATATTTAAATTAAAAAGTTTTAGAATTAAATTCAGCACAATTTGATCTTTAATTTGGTTTTAGTTAACTTATAGTTTAATAAATCAACTCGGTGAGACAAATCCCAAGTATTCAACAACAAAGAAAAATAATTTGATTCAATGAGTCCAAATAACCTTAGATCAAGATCTTGAAGCATAATTAATTAGAAATTTTATGGCATCAATTAGAAGATCAAATTATTTCCAAATTTGATATTCTTATATTCAAATCAAGTGTCTAAATGAGAAAAATCTAACAAACTCAGGATTGCTTATAAGTTACGATAATATTAAGATACATAAACAATGAATGAATGATCTACGATCAAATAAGATAATATTGATCATGCGATGTAGTGTTCAAGATTTTTTTTTTTTTTCATATTTACGAGACATACTACTCTAAAAAATCTATAGATAAACACTCTCTACATAAAGAGGACTATTAGCTTGAGATTCAAGAGATTTTATAGGCTTGAAGAATCTTGAAACTCCACTTGAGAACCACCATCATCTGACTACTACAATCTGACCACCGCATAGCCACTATCACTAGACCACCATCATCAAACATTTGCTAGCTGACCACTATTGTCGGACTGCTCAACCCGATAATAATTGTCAAACCTTTGTCATTGTTGAACTACCACTGATAAACCTCTACCATATGACCATTGTTGTTAGACATCCACCTCACCACCATTATCAGACAACTGCCACCCAATCACTATCATTGGATCATTGTCACATACTAAATACTATCATACAATTGTCAACATCTACAATCATCTGAATGAGACACCCTATCTAAACTCCATGATATTTTTTATGAACTCCCCATACTATAATAATGTCATCTCTAAATTAAGAGACATTCAAATATTTGTAATTAACGCTCACATGACGGAACTATTTCAATTAAGAAGGTCCTTACAAATTTGTCCCTTATTGTGTTTTCGTTGTAAAAAAGATGATATCATCTATGCTCTTTTCATTTATTTATTATATGCTTGATATTCGTGCAAATCTAACATGCAAAACTCTTACACTCTATTGCCAATTAGGAGAATTTTAATAATACAATTAATTACAAGAATATGATTAGATTAATTTTTATATTTCCCCCCCTTGATGTTTAATGTGTTGAGTCATTATTTAAATGTCTTTCCTTCATTTAGGACAATTGGTGCAATGTGCTTCTAATTGAGATTTGAAATTGATGGGAGCATAATCATCTAAATTTATTTATATGATTTACTTGTTGATAATATATTATAAAATATGATTTATTTATCTTTTATAATTTATATGATCTTTTTGATATGATGTGATAGGCAGTTTATGTACATTATTTCTATTGCATGGAAATAATTATAGCTCATATAATTATATATTATGTTGATATTTGATCCAATATTTCTCTTAAAATAATTATCTACATAAACAATATTTTATTCTTTTTTACAATATAAAAATAAATATATTACATTTGCCATATCTAGCAAAACATTGTATAATGAAAGCAAATGAATTTAAATAATTCCATAGATAAATTTTTCACCTAAAAGTAATTATCTATATTATATATTATAGTAGCAAAAAATTAAGTCAAAGATAAGTCTACTTTACAAGAGATTATTATGTGGGGACACAACTTTAGGTCTAGAGGCGAATCAGGTGCAGTCTTGTTATCCAGTATCGAGCAATATTGAGCTCGGTATCGAGCAGTACTAAGCTAAGTACCAAGCTGCGACACCGAATAGGGGGTGATGTGGCGCATTTTATTGGGCTCTGAATGACATTCAGCGTCCAAACAGAATAATTCATCCTATTTGACATAGTTTTCTCGTTGTTTTTGTTCTTTTTTTTTAAATTGCAACCACAAATTTATTTGACTATTATTTTCTTACGACTTTTCAAAAAAATTATATATAAAATTTTATTTGGGACGACTTTCTTATTCTTTTATAAATCAAAGTTTTAATTAAAATTTTTTAATTAATTTTTTTACTAAGAAATTATAAGAAAGTTATTCCAAATAAAACCTAAAACACTATTTTTTGCAACAAATATATCTAACTACTTCAAAAAGATCCTAAATTTTAAACAGCTCTGAAAATCATGTTAATCACTTTGGTTATGGCAATTCTTTTATGAATAAGAATATATATTTTCCCCAAAAATAAGAATATATAAAACAAATCGAATTAAATTAGTAAAAAGCTGCCTCCCTACAAGAGAACACTTGGGAACAAAAACATGCAGGCCCTATATATAATACTACATGAATGACATATACAAAGAAAGCTGGAGAGAAGAAAAGCTCTTCCAACTTCCACGTTTCACCCTCTACAGGGAAATAAGAACCGCGTTCTAGACAGCTCCCCAGCCGACGCACGCCGGCTTTACCAACAATTAATTTATATTATCATACAAAAATATTCGATGATCAATAAATGTAATTGAAATCATTATTTTTTAATAAAATCATACCATTAACGCTAAATTCCTAATATATTTTTTCATTATACAAACATTTTGATGCTGAATTTCTATTTTTTATTATTTAACTATTTAGAATTTTTTTTAAGAATGGTTATATTATTATTTATTGTTAAATAAATATTACTAATTTTAAGATTAATTGCGTTATCATGATTTAACTCTTTGTTGAATCTCAATTGAATATTTTCCCACAATTTAATTTATAATTTATAGTTCATAATTATTAAATAAAACTTTTTTTTATTAAAAAAATGTATCATGATTAAAGAAAATTGATATCTCGTTCATAATAAAATTTATTTTTAAATAATTATAATATATGATTTATTTGATTAGTTATATATATACACTATAATTATCATTAAATAAATTTAAATTTTGATATTCTTATTCTATTCTCTTAAATAATAATTTAAGAGAAAAAAATAGATGAGTAAATTCACTTATAAATTCAGCACCGCTTTCCATTGCCCCGATGGGGTAGAAAACTTGGCAGCTTTTACGAATCCCCATACTCCTCTCTTTAGTCCCACGTCGCTTCCACATCTACTAACTTCTTCCTCATTTGTTGCACCGGCCTCCATGCATCGCTTCCGCCGCCTCCTCTTCGATTCCTGCCGCTCAAATGACGACGCCGTCATCCCGCCTCGAGGCTCCCGCAATGCCCCCGTCGTCTCCTTCTCCTCCTGTAACTTCCGCTGCACCTCCGTGCCTCGCCGGAACACCGTCGCTGCTGATGTCGCCGCCGACGACCTCTCCCTCGCACGGGAAACCCCTGCCTATCTCTGGCGCAAGGAAGAGAAATGGCACGTTGTCGCTTACGATGAAGTCGCCGCCGGCACCTACCCCCGCAGCAAAATCGACTCACACTTCGCCGACGACGGTATCCTCTTTCCATCCAAGTTAGCCGCTCGCCGGAAGTCGAAGGTGGGCCGCGGAGGCTGGTTCTCAAGCGACGACGAAGGCGAGACGGCGCTGATGTCTTCCTCGTCCGATTCCAAGGAATTCGCCGTTGAAGCGGCGGGGAAGGCCATGAGAGAGAGTACGGCGGTGGTGAAGAGGTCGAAGGATCCCCGGCGGGATTTCCGGCGGTCGATGGTGGAGATGGTGGTGGAGAAGGGGATGTACGATGCCGATGAGCTGGAGGAGCTGCTCCGGTGCTTTCTATCATTGAATTCGCGGCACCATCACGTCGCGATCGTTGCGGCCTTCGCCGACGTATGGGAGGCGCTCTTCTCATATGATTCCGGCGGCTGCCGATGAGAATGCCGGCAAAAAAAAAACTCTTCTTCTTTAGATAGCGGGCGTGGGTTTTCACTTTTCAACTTTCATATTGTAAGAAAATTTGATAATGCGATACTGCGTTTGGTGCTTGGTTTTTTTGATCGTTTGGGGCAACTTTGTTGTTAATTTTAAAATAAATTTTTAGTATAATATTTTTAATTTAAAAATTCATTAAAATAATATTTAAAAAAGCATCAAATTAAGATTTTGTTAGGGGTTTACAAAAAAAAATTATATTATTTATAAAACATTATAATTTTTAAAACATATTAAAAATGTTGCTATTAATTTATTTAATATTTCTTTTTCAAATAAAAATATTATATAAAAAATACTCATCGTGAAATTCTTAACTATCCACCATTGCTTAGTTTGGTTGGTGGGCGATTACTATTAGGAACCTCCAACCCATACTCGATTCTTATCGAGCAAGCGACAACGTCTCTTAAGTGGGGCAAATTATTGCGTCCGGTCGCCTAACATGCGGACATCCAATCCGGACACGCCACCTCACCCGGATGCACTGGGCCCCGGCTATTTTTGAGTGACATGACACGTTTTTATTTGTGTCCAGACAAATCCGAACACCGAACGCAATAATTTGCCCTTAAGTGGGCCCAATCAAGTGCAGGACATGAGATTTCTGGGATGAGTGCCTCTTATAGGTCAGCTAAAAACTAATCATGCCATCAAGTGCCCTTTGGAGAATGACAATTGTTGAATATGGAGGTCCCAAAAAATTAAAAGGAAAAAAAAATCTTAACGGTAAGAGTATTTTGATTAGAAAGAGGTAGCGTCATGGGTTATCTTCGGAAACGTATGCGTCTGGAGAACATATTTACGAACAGTGACGTGCACATTTAAAGTGAAGGTATAGTATTTTACTATTTTTCAGCAACTCACTATTTGCTAGACTTCCATAGCCACCTCAAGTCAAAAGCGTGTCAGTCATCAAGCTTTTTCAGCCGTTGATGTCAAATCGTCCAGGAAAAACAATAAAATCTTGCAGTTTTTGACAATTTTCAGATTAAAAAAATATTCGTAATTTTCAGACAAAATGTCAAGGGAGAGTACGATTTAAAGAAAATAAAAAACATAATTTTTTTTATCAAATATTTTGATCCTATCAAACTTAATTATGCGTTATGAAGGCTGCAATTTTGCTAAATTATTTTATTTTAGTCAAACTTTAAGTTTTAATAGATAGCTATTTGGTTTGAAATGAAAAAGGAGAAAATATTTGGAATATAAATATAGAGATTTTTAAAGTATTGATTTATAATTAAAAATAAATAAATATACATTTTAAAATATTTAAAATTCACTTTATTTTAATTTGACCAAGTTCTACCTATGCTTAATTTGAACAAGTTCTACTTATGCTCTAAAATCTAAATATGTTGTCATGAGTGTCATGGCTAGCCGCTTGTTGGCACTACTGATAAACAATGGTTGGATATCCATCATTATTGTCGAACTTACAAGTCGCCATCTGCCACTAGTTACTGTTGTCGGCCACCACGTTGTAGGTTTTATTATGTATTTATTTTACTTAAATTTAATAAATAAAAACTAATTATTTACAAAATTATGTTTGATGCATATTTTCTATTAAATTTAGAGTTAGATTTCGACCATGTGCAACGTGATTGAGGCATTCATTGACACAACCTAAACATATTTTTATGACAAAGTATGTATTTTTTGTCCTTGATGAACTAATAATGCACGTATGTCAAGTACACAAATAGGTAGTTAAAGTGAGAATGAAAAGATACAAGAAAAATTTTAACGTGGAAAACCTGAATAGGCAAAACTCACGGGCATCGCCCAAAAGAGAAGAATTAACTAAATTTTAGTAAACTATAAAGATTGGCCCGTCCCTTGACTTGGAGGAAGTGAAATTATAATAGTTTGGAGAGTTGAACAGTAGTTCGCCAACAGTCGACAATCGGGCGGTAGTCCGAAGATGGTCTAGTGGAAGTCTTGCGGCGGTCGATAATCGGGTGGAAGTCCAGTAGCAGTCGGCTGTCAGGCGATGGTCCAACAATGATCAAGCGGAAGTCCTGCATTAGTCAGCGGCCAGTCCGTGGTCAAGTGGCTGTCGGCGGTCGGGCGATAGTCCGACGATAGTCGATAGAGGTTCATCGGCTGTGGTGTATGGGTGGAGCTCTTGAAGCCTTTGAGCTCTCTCCATTCTCCAATCAAATGTCCAACTCATATGGGCACTATGGGTCTATTTATAGATTTTCATGAGTGACACATCTAGTAAATATGTAGAAGATCCTAGGCAGGTTCGGATACTCCATTTGATGGCCCATATTGATACCCTTGATTATAAAGTTTTTTTTTTCATTTATGTGCCTTAATGATGACAAAATTAAGTGATCATTGGCTCGTTGGATTCATCTCATCAAGCCACTCGATTCGTGTACACTAAATGTATAAGCATGTCATGTTTGAATATTATATATTCATTTAGTTAATGCTTTTAACCTTCTAAATATTCTTTGAACTCTTAATTTGGACCCATTTGGGCTCGGATCGTGACGATTTCAGTGTCATTGGGTTTATCTCATTGAGAAGTTTGATTTGACTATAAGTTTGTTGAAATCAAAGTTCATATAGTCTTAAATTTAATTTTGTAAGTTTCTATCTTTAATATGCCTTAAGATTCATGCCTGATCAATATAGTTTTTGGTGATGTATGAATTGTCCCTCTTTTTTTGGATGTTATTGCATACGGAGTCCGAAAATATGTATTGGTACTTTTCAAACGGCTCTGATTGGTATTTATAAATTTAGGCAATTTATGAGGCACGACCGCTCCCTAGTCGCTAATGCGGACTTTCTTGTTGGGTTGTGAACCAAGTAAACTATAATTTATCATAATTTTAGTTTATGCTGATGTTGGGATGTATATTGGAGCAAAAAGAAGCACAAAATTTTGCTCCAAACCTATCTAAATTGAGAGAAAGTGATTATAGAGGCTTTTTTAGGCTTTGAAAGTGCTAAAATTGAGTATTGAATGTTGAAAAAACAATCCTGATGACCTCAAAAAAGTCAAAATCGAACAATCCATGCTAAAAATTGGACCCGGACACGTATTGGCAGCCGAAACGACCGAATGGATGGTGCCCGCAGGAGCATGTACCGTGTGCTCCTTCAGCTTTTAAATTATGTTTTCCTTAGGGGTTAGGAAGAGAGTACCACTTCTCTAATTAAGCCGGTCTAAAGTTTATCCCGTAAATTAAGATAAAAATGGACAGGCAAAAAATTTGAAGGTTTTTGGCAGCGTTCAAGACTCGATACTCTTATGTAGACTCCAATTATCATGGCCCCCGATGGGGAAAAAATGTCTAACAAGTATTTAAATACTAAAGTCAAAGTTGATCAAGGCCCGATACTCTTATGCAGGCTTTAGATCTCCCTTGATAAGAGAAAAATTACCCAACAAGAGTTTAAATACTAACAACGACTGTGATCAAGACCTGATACTCTTACACTAGCTTTAATTTTCCCTTGATGAGGAAAAAATTGTTTGACAATAGTTTAAATACTCGGCAATGATCAAGACCCGGTACTCTTACGCATGATAATGTTCTTCCCCGTGGGAGGAAAAAGATTCCAATAAAAGTCTAAATATTGTGGGTGGTGATGATCAATATTGCAAGCTTTAGTTCTCTGGTTATGTCATCAATTAGAGGTGAGAGTGCCCTAACTAGCTCTCGAAGAATTGGTTTTGGTTTGTTCAACTTGAAGTAAGTTCCAAAGAACCCAAAGGATTCATCAAGTGCATTCTTTTTTCCTTTCTTCTCTCATTTACATCCTTGTCTTAGTTGCATTTAATTTCAAGTACTTACAAATGTCCAATTCATGCTAGCTCCTCTATGTAGTATGTCGGTAGACATGTTAGAAGTTATCCATTATGCTCGTGAAGTATTAATGTTAATGCTGGAAAATTGTAAGTACTTGTGACTTGACATCAGGTCTGGGCAAAAAATGGATGTCAAATTTTCTGAGTACCACCGACTACTTGATTAATCTTCTGAGTGGCTCAATTTTTTAGAGAATATTTCTCATTGAAAGATTTATATATACCCCAACGACATGAGCTCCAAAATATGGGCACAATTTTCTAGCTGAAAGTATTAATGCTAATGTTATTTTATATGCTAATAGGAAGTGACCCTTCATCTAAGAGAAGATCTTGATGATATAATAGACAAGACATTGCATGTTATTCACCTCTCTGACTAAAATTGTGTTATATATATATATATATATATAAATATTGATTTTGAAAGTAGTGTGGATGTGAGGCCAAATATGTTCAGAGCTATTTGAAAGCTTCAAGATATTTGTTTGTCCATTTGAACCCCGGGTTAAGAGCACCTCTTAGTATATTGAAAAAACCAGTTAGTTCTCCATTGGGTAGACCAAAAAACAAGATAAGGATGTTATTCTTTCGTTTAAATGTTGGACTGCTTTAATATTTCTTGGGGGAATTATATCTCTTAATACCTTAATCATTTGAGGATTGGCCTCAATCTCAAAAGCACACTTGACATGTTTAAGTTGCATGTTGTAGGATCGATGCAAGTAGAATAATTGTTTCAAGTCGGAGATATATTGTAATTTTTAAGACTTTTCACATGCATATCATCTACATATACTTCTATAGTGTGCCCTATAAGGTTTTTGAAATTTTTATTCATGAGGTGCTGATACATGGCTCTAGTATTCTTGAGTCCGAATGACATAACCCAATATAAGTATGGTTTTTTATTAGTTTGGAAAGTTGTTGCTTCCTTATATATAGGGTTCATCTTTATTTGGTTGCAGCTGGAGTAGACATCCATGAAGCTCAATATTTTATGCATGCCCAGATGTAGTGGTGTCAAAATTAATAAATTAATAGGTTTTCAGGTTGGGTTTAGATTGAAGCTAGAATTGACCTGGGTATAAACATGTTGACTTGATCCCAACTCGGTTCTATAAATGAGTCAAATATATAGACTTAGACCCAATCCATGCGGGTTACTCACATTGATCCATCTTGACCCGTAAACATAAAAATAAAGCATGTGGAGTGCAGATGCGAGAGCGAGTTCAAGTATGTCAGTTTGGAGTCTAGATGTGAGAGTGAGTCTGCATGGAGGCCTCATTAGCACTATGTGTAGAGGGCGGAGTTCAGAGAATAGTGCGGGTCCATGGGAGGGTTCGTTGACGCCTAGAAGCTGGTGCTACAATGCGAGGGAGGAGTCCATGTGAAGGAGTGGAGGGCATATTCCATGTGCTATGTGGAGGGTACGTGGAGTTCAGGTGCAGTGAGGATGGGGAGTTCAAATGCGAGATTGAGATGTAGAGGGGTAGATTTTAGGTGCCTCCATGTCATTTTAAATTTTTAAGTCAACCTGAACTCGATCCAATTTTATAAATGAGTTAAAATCTTGAATTCGAACTTAATCCGTATGACAAACATATTGACACAAATCCAAAAAAAATTGGGTTGGGTCTGGGTCGGATTAAAGTTTGACACCACTACCCAAATGTGGCATCGACCAATTGGTCAATAAGAGGGAGCAAAAAAACTATCATTTGGCATACTTTATTGAGGACGTTTAGTCCACACACATCCTTCAAGCTAAGCTAGCTTTTTTAACCATAACGACATCTTCCAACCATGCTGGATAGTATACCTCATATATAGATTTAGCTTCTAGGAGTTTATTAACTTTATGTTCGGTTGCTTACTAGAGATCTAGAGTAAAATTTCTTTTATCTTTTAATAACCGACTAACAAGCTGGGTTTATTTTGAGGGAATGTACGATTATCTCTGAGTCAACTCCAGACATATATGCTAGACTTCATGTAAAAATGTTTCAGTTGGAGAAGAAAATATACACATTATCCCTTCTCCTCCTCTAAGAAAAAATATCCAATTTGCACCTTTATTTAAGGTCTTCCACATAGGAAACCTTTTGAGGGACTTCCTCATTTTGGAGGTAAGGTTATATGAGCTAGATGATTCATCATGCCCACAATATGATTGCATTGGTGAATAAGAAATCAAACAATCAACAATTGTAGTTAACATAATGTGATATTATTTGTTATTATTCTCATTCTTGCCCAGTTATAAAGCAGGAATAGTATGTTATTCGTGCTTCATTAAAGCCTCACATTTCTATCTTACATTGTTGTGTGTACAGTTGTGTTTTTCTACATGACCCAAAAGCTTCTATTTTCTCTTCCAGTTCTTAAATCCTTCACCAACAAATGAGTGTCCACATCCTTAACATGTACTAACTTGCTCTTGATGCTTAAATAAGTAACAATAATGATAAAATACAACCTCTTTATATACATTATATTATATCAAATCAAAAAAATTTTTAAACCATTTTGAGTTAAAAATACGTGCAATATTTCCCATTATTGTTTGGGGAAAATGATGATTTTTCAATTGATGGGGACCATTCAACAAATAAGCTCTACAAATTTTATCCCTCTCATTCTTATCATAACTCCATATTGATGGTCGAAGAATAGAATTAGCAGGGAGATTATCAATATCAATCTCAACACTTCTTTCCACTTAAAAAATCGTTTCATTTTTTGAAATGCTTGATAGTTGTTGCATCCAAGAGTATTCGCGTCGGTAGAGAAATATCATATTTAACGTCTTAGCGTTGTATGAAAATCCAGCACGCAATCAGATAAGGGAGAGGGTCTAGCATTCACATGAGACACAAATGTTTTTACGTGGAAAACCCCTGAAAATGGGGAAAAAAACCACGGGGCCTAGCCCAATTTGAATGAGTCCACTAGTATTGTAGTTGATTACAAATGAGGTCCTTCCTTGGTGGAAGGTTTTAGCTTGATGTACATCTTATGGAGTACATTACATGATGTTAATACAAAGAGTCATTGTTGACATGTTCGTTTAGTCGGAAGGATCGTAGTCGGAGGGCGGCGGAGGTCGGAAGACTTGTAGTATGTGGGCGACGTATGTCAGGAGGACCGCAGTCAGTTGGTGACGGAGGTCAGAAGGACTATAGTCGGCGAGCGACGTAAGTAAGGAGGACCGGCCATAGTCGGCGGGCGACATAGGTCGGAAAGACTGTAGTCGGCGGGCGACGTGAGTCAGGAGAACCGTAGTCGGCGGGCGACGGAGGTCGGAAGAACTGTAGTCGGCGGGCAACATAGGTCAGGAAGACCGTAGTCGCAAGCAACAGAAGTCGGAAAGACTGTAGTCGGCGGGCGACTTGAGTCAGGAGAACCATAGTCGGTGGGCGACGGAGGTTGGAAGAACTGTAGTCTGACGACGAAGATCAGAAAGACAGTGTCAGGTAGAAGTCTAATAATGGAAAGAAATCCATCTTCGCATAGACGTCTAGCGAAGTCCGATAACTGGTAGAAGTCCGGTGTCGGGTAGAAACTTGGCGAAGAGTGAAGGTCTGATGTCGGGTAGAAGTCCGACGTTTGTTGGTGGCAGAGGAGAACTCCGTCTTCACTTGGGCGGAGTTTCGGCGTTATGAGGGAACTCTGTTGTAAATTGGGAAGAATTTCAGCATCACATGGAAGTTGGGCAGAATTTCTGCGTTCTCCCGAATATCACACAGAATCCCGGCGTGTTCGGGCGGCTGGACGAACTCCGGCGGTGGTCGAGGAGGAGCTAATTCTCCTCCTCCTTCTCTTCTTATTCTCTTCTCTTTCTTCCTTGGCTCCCCTCTTATGGAGAATGATGGCTATATTTATAGTTTTTCTGGAGTGGTTCGGCTTGTAAATAGCCGCGATATCAGGGGGAAATAGGGAGTGTCCGAATGAACGGCTGATATTGAATCCTTCTATTGTGCACCGTTCGTTGGACATTTGAGGGCATTATTGATGTCATAAATTGGTCTCAATAGATAGAGGTTGAAAAATTCTACATCTTCCATAAATGCACTTTTAAGTGTTTTTTTTATAATTATTCTGACTTTTTTTTGCCTCCAAAAAATCCCTCCCTCTCTCCCTCCTATAATTTCAAATGAAGATAAAATTTTAATTTACAGCATCAAAACTCCCAAGTGTCATATAATAAAGCTTAACATATGATTTACATAAGTATATAATATCAAGCTTAACTTAACAAAGCATGCCAGTTATTCACCTATAAGCTATGATTTGATGTCATTCACATATAAGCTATGCTTTAAGATTCACATTAAACGCACTCATATTAAAAATGAAAGGAAAAAAAAAAAAAAGAATTTTATCAACTTTTCCTTGCATTCAATCCAAGAGACGAGAACAACGAGGATAAGGTGACGGCTAGCTCGGTTGTTCAGGAACACTAGCAAGTAGGGTTATAGGGGATCACGATTCGTATATGCCGCAAGGATCCATGCTTGTGCGCGTCACGATGGAAAGGGCAAATGCTGTTGGGTGGCTGCGATTCACACAAAGGGGTGCGGGCAAAAAATAGGGTTTGAGGGCAAATTTTATTTTTGAGGGGTTGTAAGTGGCAACACGTGTACATCGTGCCCCCACAACTCATTAGCTTGAAAATGTTTATATTTAAATAACTTTGATTCAATTAAATTGGCTTATATATAACATACAAATAAATTTACTAGTCGTTCAAATTTTACATTGAAATACATATTTATGGATTTATAAGAAACACCAATAAAATTGAAAAATTATGTATGATCACTCAAATCACACATTTATAATTAACAAAAGCAACAATGCATCTTTCTTTGCATAATTAGAACATATTTGCGTAAATAATGATCATGATTAATGATTTATTTGCTTATTAAGTAGTCCTAATTCAATATGAAACTTAACTTAATATCTAACATGAACTTAGCCCAAATTTAAAATTTATTATAATGCAAAACTAGGTAGGACATATATATATATATATATTCTAATTTTGGCAAAGTGATCATTCCATCCCCAGATACAACGATAGAACTAGGGGTGTCAATTCCGGTCAACGGGTCGGGTTCGGGTCGAACCCTGAACTGACCCAACACTATTCGGGTCAACCCGAACCCGACCCGTTTTTAAAAAAGGGTCAGGTTTCCAGACCCGAACCCTAACCGATTCAGGTCCGGGTCAACCCGGACCCAATTCAGGTCCGGGTCAACCCGACACGACACGATTGACCCGGTTTTTGACCAAAAATTGCTAGTTTTCAGGTAAAAAATCAGTTTTCGGGTAAAAAATGGGTCTATCTCAGGTTTTCTGGTCAAAAACGAGTTTTCGTGTCACTTTCGGGTCAATTTCGGGTTGCTGGGTCAATTAAATTATTAAATAAATAATTAGTAGGAATATTATTTAAATAATTAGTTATTTCAAAATAATTAGTTAATTCAATTTTAAATCTCCAACCGTTTTAAATCCTGTTATCTTTTGCCAAACATCTTTCTGAATTTAACAGGATTTAAAAATTATCATACCAAACACAATTCAGAATTTAAGAGCCCAAAATTTATTAAATCCGAATTTACAGGATTTAATAAATCCTACTAAAATTTAATCCAATCCTATACCAAACACCCCCTTAAACTCACAAGTCACAAGTGTCAACCACCGCGGATTTAACACAGGCAACGCACACGCGCCCCGCCCTAAATCCAACTCTCAGTCGGATACCCGCCTCTATCCTTCCGCGGAGAACTTCGCCCAGTTGAATTCCCGCCCTTCAACTCAATCCTCGATCTTCCGCCAACCCTAACAAAGATGACAAATAACATAACGGCGAGCGATATTTCAAGAACGGCGGTTTCTTCGTCCTCCACGGCTTCGCTTCGGCACGTCTTCTCCTCGAGGTAGATGGAGGAAATTGGATATGGTGCAAGGGTTATTCGCACCCGAGACGGAAAACGTTGTGGAGGGTAAGGGGTAAGGGGTTTAGGGTGCGGTGGATGGCGCATTAGGATTTCGGTGCGATATGGCGGAGGTCGACAAGAACGATATTCCATACGGCTTGAATAGGATCAGGACTCAGCGGGACGCATCGGAAGAGCCCTGTAGCTCGGGCGGAGATGATTCGCCAGCCAGGGCTGGCTTTTGGGGGGGCCTTGGCAGGGATGGGCTTCGGCTGGCGGGTCCGCGAGCTAAGGCCGCTGGTAATGGAGGCCGGAAGTCTGGCGGCGGGAAAGGTACGTTTCTTTCTAATTTTTATTTATTTATTTGAATTTGTGTTGTGAATGGTGTTCATGCAACTCTTCCAGTGCCGCTAGTTCATAATCTCTTGAACCCCTGTCGTACTTCTCTTCACCAGCTACTCTTCCCACTGCTGGTTTTTTTCCTCTCTCTCACACACACACACACACACACACACACACACACACACACTCACACACGCCCTCTTTCACTCTATTTCCCTACAACTTTCTCCGCTTGTGAAGCTTTTTGCCATAGACATCGTGCAAGGTATACAAAGAGACATCGCCTCCTATATAATCCTCTGCTCGTCTTTTTTGATGCGGCAGGGGGAATTTGTACACTTTTTTATAATTTTTTTACACGATAGGACATTCATTATTGATGCGGCTAGTAAGATCTGTGTGCATCTTTCTTGACACAACGTGGGAAATTTTATTATCCTGTTTTTGCGTTTTTCCTTTAGGGCATGCAAAATGAAATGAATGCACTACAACAACAAACAACATCAAGCCTACAACAACAAAAAACATCAAGCCTTTATCCCACTACATAGTGCTGGCTAAATGAATCCTGTTTCTCCATTATGTCATGTTAAGAGTCAAAATTCTCATTTAAATTAATAAAAAAATGCCATGTTATAATATTTTCTAATCAAATATTTTTACGTCTAGCTCAACCTTTCTTAACATAGGCCATATCTAATACATTTAGTCTTCTAACATGGTCATCGAAAAGCCGATATTTTGTGTGACCAAACCATCTAAGGTGACTCTCTTTAATACAATCTACCACTACAGCTACTTCAAACTTCTCACTTGTACACTTGTTTTGCATTCCGTGTCTTGAGTGAAGCCACTCATCCACGCGAGCATCCTCATCTCTGCAACACTTAAACTTAATTTTATGGTTCTCTTTTAATGGCCAACATTATGCGTCATAAACCATTACAAGTCTCACCACCATCTTATATAAATTTTTCTTAAATTTGAGGGGTACTTTTCTGACACACAGCAGGCTCGATGCATTCCTCCACTTCAACCATCCAACTTGAAGTATACTAATAATACTCTTTCCTATTTATTCACTATCATTTTGAACAATAGACCCGACATATCTAAAATATGTACTTTTATTAATGACTTAAGAGCCCAAATTCACAATCCCCCACTAGATATTTTATTAATAAAATTGCACTCAATTTATTCGGTTAGATATACTCAAACAAAAACCTTTAGACTCTAAGGTTAACCTCCATAATTCATGTTTTCCTTGGACTTCCTCTCTAGTCTTATCAACATGAAGAATATCATCAATAGAAAGCATATACTAGGGTACATCCTCTTGCAAATTTCTAGTAAGAACATTCATGAATAAAGCAAAAGGATATGGGCTTAAAGCAGATCCTTGATGTAATCTAGCTGAAATAGGAAAATACTTGGTCAAACCACCATGTGTTTGAACACAAGTAACAACTCATGTATAAATATCTTTAATGACTTGAATATAAGCATTATTAACTCATTTATTTTTTAGAATAAAATGAATGCAGTGTAAAATAAAAATAGTGTATTGAAAATGTTGATCAAAGGTGGCAGATGAAGAGGGCGGCGATTGATGGTCTACGGATGGTGAATGACAGTAGTCGGTGATGACAGAGTGAGCGAAGATGGTGGGTGGCTTGTAGTGGTGCCCCACAAACATTACCTTTACCCAAATTTTGTATTTAGAATTCGCTCAAAATAGTAAATCCTCAAAATGAATTAGATAATTATTTCTAAATGCACTTCCAAAATGCATTGCATTTGAAATGTAGTCATTTAAGCACCCATATTTTCAAAATCCAATGTGTTTATTTTACACTCAAAACACAACTAACCAAACAACCCCTCACAAGTAACTCGAAAAAGAGCACTCGTGTTTGCTTTTGATGGCGCTTATGGTGGGCCATCTCACGAATGCAGCTCTTTGCATTCCTGTCTTCCCTACTTGTGTGTGGGATGCATTCCTTCTGTGTGGTAACTTAAGTTTTTTTTTTGTGATTCTTTGGCGTTCACACCTTCTGGGATTAACTTCTCGTGCCTTTTTGGTGGTTACGTCATTAGCTACCTTACATGTTCTCTTTTACAACTAGTGAACTTTTGCACTTCTTAGCACGCTCATCATTAAGCTAGATTGCTTCTTTTACCTCTGAGTTGTGCCAAGAGCCATGCTATTATCATTTAATCTTCCTCGTCCCAAGTATTGAATGTTGGGTTTACTTGCTTTGGAATTGTACCAAGTAGTTGATTCAATTTCCCTTTACCATTGATAGAGAAGTTTGAACCAATCAGGATGAGTTCAATTAAAATTTCCCTTTAATCCTTACACAACATGAATGCTTTGTAGATTTCCAAATAGTTGATGTATTATTATTTTTTAAGTTACCTCCCTAAAATTCCTACTCAATAGAAACTGTCGTTCTAGACATGGGCTGATCTTGGTTGTGGGAGTAAGTATCAAGCATTGCAACAACTTCAAATTGAAAGAGGGAAGGAAACAAGGATGATAAACTTCAATAGAGTTAAATAACCTTGCCCCAAAACAAAAAAAAAATCAAGCAAAACATATGGCTGGTTGATGAACAAAATGATGAAGCACTCAAGTAGGAAATTATAGTAGGAATGTAAATGAAAATCAATTAAAGCAAATTGTAATAGCTCAATAATGAAGAGCAAGCAAACAATTGATTCCTAGAGAAACTTAGCCTTGGAGCTGTGATACCATGTGAGAAAATGTTTGCAACTTGTATTATTCTAACTAGATTCTAATTACAAGCAACATTGTGTTCATATACAAGCTATACATAGAGAAAATTAAGGGAACATATATAATAAAGGAAACAAAAAATACTATCCATTTGAATGAGATTTTCCTAGCGAATCATTTCAAGATCCATAGATTAAACTGAGTTGATATCATAAGGATCCACTCCTGAAGAGGGCATGACCACATGATTTTTTATTGCAATTACAACACATACAAGTATTAGCTTTTGCCATGGAAGATCTTTGTCCAATATTGCATAACACATGCGTGCCTTCCAACAATAGGTGCTTGTGCCTTCCAACAATAGGTGCTTATGGGAATACATCATATTAGATTCATCGGATATAAGTCACGTGATTCTTTCACAAAAAAAGAGTTTATTTTTGTTTGGAAATGCTAAGTTGGCTAATGGGTTTGGCAAAAAAAAAACCCAAAACAGATGGCACAAAACCTATTAATTCATAGATTTGAGAGATTTTTCCATGTCACTTTTAGCATAGTTGACCTTCTTCTGATTCTTCTTATTTTTTGATGGGCACACACATTTCTATTTTCCTTTACTTGGCTTTTCATGACAAACTTGGGCGATGCTTTATTTTTCCCTCTTAAATTTTTATTTGAAGTTTTTAGAACCTTGAGAGGTTGTTTGGCAACAAGATTTATGCAGGTTTAGCATAAATTTTGCCAAACATGATTTTGACTTGGCATAAATCTCACTGTGGAGTAAATCTTACGTTACCATTTTTTTGCTGTAAGTCTCAACTTTACTAAATTTGGGAGTTCGGCGGATTTACGGGATTTGGCCGAAGAAGCTTGCAAAAGGGAGAAAATGGTTACCTTCGCAACGAGCGAGCTCTCTCCGTCGTCGTTCTTACTTCCGATCCAACAAAAGAATGATGAGCTGTCATGAATTTCGATCCGATAGGAAGGTACGTCATCGAAGGAGGTGAAGTAGTTTTTTAGTGACTCCTTCAAAACTCTTACCTCTCACATGAAGCACATACAAAGTCGAATTGCTGGAGAAGAGGAAAATAAAACCGTAGGCCTATAGCTTATGGGAATACAACATATACATTCCTGGAATAGGTGGGCATTAGCCGTACGAATTAATTAATTTAATTAAAATGAATCAAGAATATAATTTAATTAATAATTAATTAGTAGCATATTTAATAATAAATAAAATTATACAATTAGCTTAATTAATATAATTTGAAATAGAAATTATTAATTATATAATTAACAATGTAAATAAGAATTAAATAGTTAAAGTATTAGAACACTTAAGTGATTAATGAGATTTTAAAAAAAGAAAAAAAAGTGATTAATGAGATAATTAATAATTAAAACTAATTAAATAACACAAATAATTAATTAAATGATTAGTATGGGTATTAGTTAAATAATTAGTTATTTAAAAAAGAATTAACTAATTAATTAGATATCAAATACTTATTATATTATTTATTATTATAACTTATTGACGGTAATTAAAATTTAAATTAATAAGTAACTCGTACTTTACACATAAATTTAATTCTAAATACAATAAATTTAATTTTTAAATGAATTAATCGCCTTAAATCCTGGATTACATTGCCAAATAGTTCCATGAGATTTAACAGGATTTATCAGCTGTCTTACCAAACTGTTTTCAAGATTTAATTGCTCCAGGATTTACTAAATCCTATAAAGTTAAATCCTACCTTTTGCTAAATAGGCCCTAAATTTGAAGGAGGTTTTTAATTTAAAAAAAAGAAGAAGACTAAAACATGGTTTTAATTCTCCGTGGAAGTTGGCTTTATTAGTTAGATTTGAAAAACATTTATATGATATTTGGTAATTTGATTTTAGCCAATAATGGTAGCACTGCTGCTCATCCTAGGCACTCATAGAGGCTAGAGTGATGGTTGTGTTTATGGGATATGTTGTGGGTTAAAGGCCGAGACTGTAGTGGATCCATTGGGGCTATCATTACTTGCTGGTTTGGAGATGGCTATCTCAATACATTACATGGCTTCGAGCTTATTCCCAGTCATTTTGTAGGTGCGCCTAAGGAGATTGCATGTTATTTTGGGTTTTTAACTGCGTGAATTTTGGGCTTTATTTTTAAAAAAAAGTTTTGGTGGAGTTTAATACAACCATTCTGCCAAAAGTTCTCTCACTCATTTGTTCAACTAATATGAATATATGAAATTACTCGTGTAATTGAAGATTTGGCATACAATTTTTCTTATTTATATGGATTATGTTTCACAGTCCTTCCAATAACTATTTGTATTGGTTTTACTATGAATAAGAGGCACACGCTGTTTGTGCATAATAATGAAACATAACAGGGGCATTGAGTATATTCTGTTTGTAAATCCTTATTGCTCAAGAAGATTTCATCATGCATTTTATTTATTGTTAATTTTCAGAATTTTAATTGCTCATGAAAGCATTCTAGTTATTTTTTGAAATATTTAATGAATTTAAATAATTCAAGATATTAAAATGATATCCCAAACTTGAAGTTGAAATCAAATGTAACAGTGAAAGTGCTTTTTAAACACTTGAAAATTTTGTCTCCATAGAGCAGCCTCAAGTTAAGTCTAAAACCAAAAGCAAAACCATGGTTTAAAACCTTTTATTAAACCTTGCTTCTGGTATTCTTGCGTGTTTGTTGAATTGATTTTTGGCTGTTCATGTAAATTCCTAGTTGTCCACGTGTTTCTTAAATAAATCTTATGGAGAAAACTCTGATTTGGTTATGTTTTGTGTTATCCACAATGTCTTTTTCTGTTGGCTGAACAGTTGCATGCCTGAACAGTTATATGCCTGTTTTTTTCTGTTCTTTAATGTTGTTTGAAAAACTTTATCTGTAATTCATTGATAAAATAACACTTTTACTTTGCGGTCATGTTGGTTTATTGCCAAATTTATCTTCATAGCTTTTTATATACCTTATATTGTGTTCATCAGACTTGTTACGATTTTCATTTTAGGAGCATTGTGGCTGCCATTGGTTCCTTATATTATGTGATCATTTTTTTCATTAGGATTCCGTAAAGGACGGAAGATTTCTCGTTGGTTTACTTCATATCTTGCATCAAAGGATTTGAATAAATCTTCAAAAAGTATTCCTCCTAACAGTGAGGTTAGTCTGCGGTTTATAACATTATGCTTATATTGCCTTTGTCTACCGAGATTTATTTTCAGAAACCTTACTGTGCATGATTTCTGCAGACAAAGAGGTCCAGTTATTTTCCTGATCTGAAAGAAATAACTGAAAATCAGTTGCTGCAAGAAACTAACTTAAATAAAAAAGCATGTGGCGCACATAAAAGTTTTTCACATGAAATAGCGCCCAGAGGTGGTACTCAACCTGTACAGCCGCGTTCGCGGAGTTATAGTGACTTAAAGGTGATTGGCTTGTTATTGGTATTTTTGAGATAACATAGGGGATATATAAGAAGTGCTAGTTATTTTTTTGCAGCACTTTCTTTACTATTTTGATCTTTGATCTCTCTTTCTCTTGCGCACACACACATTCTAGAAAAAAGAGTATATGATGCACTGCTAAGTTTGGTATGGTTTGAAATTCAGGAGCTTTTGGGTTCATTTCATTCAAAGTTTGAGGCAGCTAAGGAAGAGGTGAATGCTGACCTGGCTGCTTTTGTAGCAGATGTTGCTAACGGTCTTGAGAATGGCACTTTATCAGGAGAGCAGGAAACAGCTGGCTATCTTATTTTACTCTCTGAGAAGTGCATGGAAATGCCACCTTCTAGATTCCGGGATGATTGTGAGGGAATTGTTCAGGTTCTTGCTGAGAGGTGGCAGAAGTGCCAAGGGGGATGTATGAAGCAGCTCTTAACACGCATACTTTTCATCCTAACACGCTGTAACAGGATATTGCAGTTCCAGAAAGATGGTGACCCAATTAATGAGGAGTCTCTCAATCGATTCCAGCTGTGTATTGAAAGTGTTCCTGCTTTTGACAGGAAATGGAATGTCAGTTCTCAGAATGATTATTTTGATATTAACAATTTCCTGGAGCAGGATTGCCACGCTACACATGAAACAGAGGATTATAACAAGGTAATTAGAAATTGTGTTATATTTGTGGTATTTCTGCTGTTGAACTGCCAACTCAAGATATTTTGATGTGAACTACCATATTCCTGTTTTATCCTTTCCAGATCTCTGTCACCTCAGCAAGGAACCACAAAACATTCCCGAGTGCATGCATATCTACATCTCCCGAGAACAACAACAATGGGGATGGTTTGCTACGGCCCCAAAGAATTTATGGCATCATTACTGAAAGGCTATTGGACATTTGTAATAATGATTTTCTTTATGAGAAGGAAGGTTCCGAAGTTCCTGATTTGGTAATCTGCAGGATCTGTGAGGAGAAGGTTCCAGCTTCTCATTTGGAGGCTCATTCTTATATATGTGCTTATGCTGACAAGTGTGATCTTGAAGGCTTTGATTTGGATGAACGGTTACTTAATATTGCGGATGTTTTGGAACAGCTTGTGGAGTCTTACAATCAAAGCTCTCATGCATCATGCAGCAGCCCTGAAATTTCAAGAATCCAAAATGCTGATTCCATACCTGCTTTTGAAAGTTTTTCACCCAAGGCTCAGGATTCTCACCAAAAAAATGATTGGATGTTTGATGATATTCATGAGATGGATACAGCTTCTATAGATGATCCTCTTACACCTGCCTCTGGTCATTGGAAGAGTCTTCTTGCTATGAAGCTAGGATCTTGTTTTCCATCTTCATCTAACGGAAGTCCAACCCCAGCTTCCTCTATGAACACCCCTCGATCGACCCACTTTGACTTGTTTTGGTTAGAGCATAACATCACCACGGAACATGAGGATCTAAACCAGGTTATTATCTTTATTATTATTATTATTATTTTTGATTGGTTTATTTCTGCAATACTTCCCAATTATGACCAAGGATTTGAGCATCCATACTACGGGAGGAGAAAACTAAATAATCTTGCATTTTATCTTTCTCAAACTTAAGCACTTGAGTCATGCAAAAATCAGAACAATGATGAGTTCTCTTTTGTCATTTTGGTCTATCTTGAAATTTGATTCATAGTTTCTATAGGCTTGGCTTCTTATATGCACTACGAAACTTCGTTGGGAGAACCCCAGAAATGTGCTTGTAGTGGCTGCTGCTACGCTGATGAATTGGGGTCCCAAAATATGTTTCACAAATTATCCTCTTCTTTAGTCATATCATAATCAGTTGCGGTTGGCATTTTGAATTCTCATTTTATTAATGTTGAGCGTGCATGGATTGTTAAATCTGCTATACATATTTTTGCAAAATTTTTATTCATATTATTCTTGGCTTATTTCTTTTTGTTTCCTATTTCTTTATATTAATTTTATGATTTTTATCCACCTATTATATTGTTGCCATCTCTTCCCCTGTTTTGTATATGCCCAATAACATAGTTGTATTTTACACAATTTTAGCTTCAGTAAGTTCCACTCTCTCTATTCACCCCAAATTACCATTTCACGTGTCATTGTTTGTTTTGTTACACTTCTATCATAATTCTCTTTTTTAGCATTCAATTTGGGTTTCAATTTGTTTTTTATCATCAAATTTCGATCTCTATAACATGGCCATTTTAATTGTAATTTTATAAATTTTATTTTTTGGCTTCATGATATTATATTGTTGCATGGTACTTCTCAGATATTTCTAAATTTTAACTAACTTTAATCCTAGAAGTATATCTTCATTCTTTGACATAACAGATCTAAAATATTTAACCCTATGACATTTAGGTATCACTTGATTTTATAGTTTTATTGTTTCACACTTTAAATTATTATTTAACCAATATTTTTTCTGTAAGTCTTTGATCCCTCATATTCTTAACACTTCTGCCATATTTTCATTTAAAATCATTTTCATATTTTAGTTTGTTACACCCCGTCTTTATTGAATCTCAAAGTGTTTGAGTTTAGTCAACTCAAAATCAACTAGGATTCAAAATATGATTCAAGCTGAGTTGACCAGACTCTAAACATTTCATTTTGAATCAACTTGAAATGTGTTCAGGCTGACTTGGAATAATCATGTGCAACCTAATTGTTATCAAGTTGGCTTTCAAGTTGGTGTAAATTTATAAGCTATAATAAATAAATATTAAACATGATAACTTTAACTGATCATTTTTGATATTTCATAAAATGTTCTTCTTCTTCTTCTTGTGAGAGCACTAGAGAAGGGAGAGAGAGAGCTCGAGGTGTGAGCAAGCGCAATACCCACCAGTCGTTGGATCGTGGTTAATCTTTCTTATTTACTTTTTCTTCTTTTTCCCATCCTACCCGACTCCTCCTCCTTCCCCTCCCACCACCGGCCATCCCCTCCCACCACCGGCCATCCCCTCCCACCACCGGCCATCCCCTCCCACTCAAATTTCCCCTTTAGCTCCACCACCTCAAAGCCCACCCGCCAACCTAGACCACCCAACCGCCGGCCTAGCCCCACTTTTCCCCCCAACCGCATTCCCAAGCCTCCCACCACCATGCCGCCGGCTCCCCATTGGCCATCCCCCTTTAATGATGATTAATGCCATCATTACCACCTACCAAAATAGTCTCCATTGATTTAGGAAGATAACTCCTCAGTTTGAAATTCAAATTTTGAATTTCAAAATCTTCCCTAATTGGACAAGGTCATATTTGGAAAGTTTTAAAGCTCATTCAATTTATTTTAAATTGGATTTGATTTAATTTTCCTCTTCCTTATTGAGAAAACCAAATTTGGAAGCTTTTAACTCCCCACCAATCCTTCCCCTCTTCCCCCTATGCCGCCGGCCCATTAATGGGTTTCTCCCATTTAATGCCCAATTAAGACTCAAGCCTTATTTGAATTTGAATTCAAATTCAAATCCAACTTCCTCCAAACCCACCCAATTAAAACAAAGCCCTCTCTCCCCTCTTTAAATGGCTGGCCCACTTAAGCCGCCCCTCTCTTTCTCTTTCTCTTTCTCTTTCCACTTTGCCACCTAAGCATTAATTAATTCCTCCCAATTCCCCTCTTTGACTGGCCACCTAAGCTCCCCCTTTTAATTAATTAGATCCCATAAATTAAGGATCTAATTAATTCAATCCCCTCCCAACTTTCCCTCCTAATCTCCACTAATTTCAAATTCAAAATTCAAAGGAGATTAATCTCTAATTATTTGCTAAATCTAAAATTAATTTTAGATTTTATTTTTCTCCTCTACTTAGCTTGGCCGATCCCCTCCTCCCCCTCTCTACAATTTCTCCTGGACAACTATGCATGACTGATCCGGATATTGATCAGAGATTAATCTTTGATTCCCAAGGACGTGTGGATGTTTTGAGATTGTCTTTCGTGACGTCAACGTAGAGATCGATGCCACCATTGAAGATTATGTGGATCGAATACTATTTTCTCTATCAACTGCCCTCGACGAATACTACCTTCCATCCGAGTGGCAACTCTTACACCTTCCATCGACTCCTCCAACTCCGACTAGCTTTCCCATGGACAGTATTGTAAGCTCCCTCTTCCTCGTGGTGATCACATCAGTATTGCTAATATCTTTCTTCTGTTAACCGCAAGAGAGCTTGAGTGAGGGAAACTCAAGGCGACTTTTCTAAATATTAACCCGCAGATTATTGTTAAAGTGCATTCGTCATCGAGTTTGTTATTGTTTTAAATTGTTGTGCCTAACGAGTTTGCAACATTGCCTAAGCAATTTTGCAACTGAGATTTCATTAAATCATTAATTGTGACTCGTTAATCTTTATATTGACTTGCTTACTCAGTTGTCTTATTCTTTCTCTATGCAAATCCGATTCTGTTTGACATCACAGTTCATAAATGAAAATCCAAAGCAATTGAACTTTCAGATAATGCAATAACTATGATTTAATTATACTGGAGGAAGCAGAGGAGAGGTGTGAAGGAAGATGCTATGTTACCTGTGAAGAGTAGAATACAAAATGATGTTAGCAATAACGAGATTAAGTGGTGGTGGTGCAAGATTCATATGCCGGCAGCCGTGTCCTTAAGCTTCCTCTATCATCTCTAGAGGTTGCCCTTAAGTTGAATGTGGATGAGGAGAGAGAACTGAGAAGATGATTGCTGCTTTTTGAATGTTTTTTTGGAATGCCGTAATATTGAGGTTCTTCCAATATTTGGTGGTGAATAGACGAGCAAAGCAAATCTCCTCTATCATCTAATAGATTTGATGAAAAAAAAAAGTGCCGGAGAAAGGTAGAATTGCTAGGATTTGAACCTAAAACAAGCATAATTTACCTAACTTTACGCTTTTTCACTTGGCTGTCATCCTCTTCATAAAATTTAAAGGAATATATATATATATATATATATATATATATATATTGATGAGGCTTGAATCACATTTCAAACAAGCTACATTAGGCTCGAGCTTGACTAGGAAAAAGGATTGAGTTTAGAAATCTGCTTGAAACTTGGCTCACAACTCAAGCAAGTTTTTAGCACTATTTCAACCTTGCATATGCTTGGTTTATCTCTTTTCAGTCTACTTTTGATGCATTTGTGGATTTGAATTTGAATTTGAGATGTGAGTGTGATCATGAGAATTTGCTAGGAAATTCAAAAATATTATTATTAAAAGCCATTGATGAGTAGTTATTTGGTAATCAGTTCTTTTTTTTCATAATGTTTGGCATTTTGATTACCTTTCATTGAAATTAAGATGAAAGTCATTTAATTTTCTAAAACTGTTCAATAATTCATTTCATGCTCTACTAAACTGTTCTTGATCAACGGTGTAAAATTTTTTCTTAAAATTATTTTTTCCTTTGAACAAGAAGTTATATTTTGATTCATTTTTCATGATAACACTTTTGTTTGCGCTCTTCATATTTTCTTAATTTATTTCTTTAGTCTTGGATTTGCTTATTGGATGGTTGAAGTGGAGGAATGCATCGGGCTTATTGTGCGATAGAAAAGTCCCTCTCAAATTTAAGGGAAAATTTTATAAGATGGTGGTGAGACCTGCAATGCTTTATGGTGCCGAATGTTGGCCATTAAAAGAGAAGCATAATACTAAGTTAAGTGTTGCAGAGATGAGGATGCTTAGGTGGATGAGTGGCTTGGCCCTTAGAGATAGGATACGAAATGAGCATATACGTGAAAAGGTTGGAGTAGCTCCAGTGGAAGATAAGATTAGAGAGAGTCGCCTTAGATGGTTTTGTCACATTAAACGAAGGCCTCCCGATAACTCGGTTAGGAAAGTTGAGGTATTAGATTTAACTTATGCTAAGAAAGGTAGAGGTAGTATCACGACCCGGCCTGGATGCTCGTTCTAATGAGGCGGGTACGAAAAGTCGGACGGTAAAATTTTCATTAAATATTTCACTACTTCTTCATTTATACTGAATAGCCACTAAAATACAAAAATGTATATTTACCTGTTGTCATTTGCACACCGACTTCTATAGACAAATTATTCTCTTTCAGCAATTTCTTTTTTTAGGAACTTACCTGAAATATTAAACTCGTGGGTTGAGTTTACTATGTAAACTCAGTGGGTAATTATTTAATATATATTATATAATTTCTTAACTTTATTTAATTCATTTCAATAATTTATACGTATTTGATCATTTTTTTCCTTTAAAACATTTTTAAGCTTTTTTTAAAACTTCAATATTTCCTTTTCCAATTTAATTCGTACAGGAGCACCGTCTCAATGTACCCAAAGGTACAACATTTTTCATTTATCCTTTTCCATTTTCATTACCTTTTCCTTTTCCTTTTTACGTGCACGAGTATGGAGTCCCCAGCCAGTACCATAAGGGGGTGAACTCCTAAAATTTTCATACATATCATTTTC